GCCCAATATCTAACATTGTAATATTTACATAGATATACCTACGCATCCTCTTTTGTTAGTTATCAGTAATACAGTAGTGTGTTAGGCCGGAGAAAAGCAATGAGCATGTTATAGCATTTTGTTTCTGGACAGAAACCATGTGTTCTTGAACTAAATCAAGCATAGATTATCATAGCAATGCCTGACTGAACTGAATTCAGATGATGTTAATTCGAGATGTAATTTGAATAAGAGCCCTCATTAACTTATTAACATATAAGATGTTTATACCTTCTCGAACTACAGGATGTAGTTGGAAGTAATGATGTTCAAACATAAATCACACACTTCATTACCATCCACATGAGTAATGACATTCACTTCGAAGGAATTGCACTTTGTTGTTGCTAAAATAATACACTTACGGAAACTGCGGTGAAGTAGCTTAAGTAGCTTTTAGATTTCACACCGTTTAGAGGTTCCAGGAATCTCACCTCTCTACTGTCAACGCGCACACACCTCTGTCGTTTCATGTAACTAAGGGACCATTCCCACAGATATTTGGATCGATCTACCGAATCAGCTAGGGGGTAAAGATAATTACCCCCTAACAGCTTTACTAGGCGTGACAGACATTTAAGCCGGTTACGTTGATAGCAATTTAGTGAGATTCCCCAGGGAGTTAGACCGATCCAAATGCACCGAGCTAGGCATGGGAACCCAGTGTAAAACGTTTGAGCTATGCTGGGACCTCTGAAACTCGGGGTGGCCAAAAGGGAATCACCACATTTGATTTAAGGAGCACCGTAAATCATCACCTCACCTCTCCTACCAAAAAAATGGGAGGTGGAATCTGTTGTTTTTCTATTATATTCCGAAGAATGACTTCCACTTTAGATTGTTATCGAACGTTATTCACGATGAGCAGACAGTTTTTCGTCATAGCATTACGAAAATGTTTTTATAGATGGGGAGAGGGTGGAATGCATCCGAATTTCTTAGCTTTACGACGTTTATTTGTCCAAATTGCTGAGATTGTAATTTTGGGCAGGATAGCAGGTGCTGAAGACGCTTTACTCATTAACCGAAACACGCAGGATGCTAGCGGACGGTTGATGAAACACTGTTTCCCAACGACTCAAGTTGTTGTTTTACACACACACACACACACACACTAAGATATAAAAGTATATCACCCATTGAAATGAAATTAAATAATCAACGCCTACATGATAATAGAATTTATGTATGTCTATATGTATCGGTGTGATCCATATATACGATCTATTGAACTAATGTTCGTAAGGCCTACGGATCACACCAATATAGGCTTATATATATAGATATAATTTCTATTAACTTGTAGGCCTGGATGTTGTTTAGAGTTCACTTCCCCGGGTGATATACCCTTACACCTTTAATGTGAAAATGTGGCGCAATTACATCGGAATGGGATTCGCAGCTGTGAAGCTGTAACCATGTGATAAGCATGAATCAGAATGCAAAGACGAAAAATATATAGATCTAACTGCAATTTCAGGTTGACATGAAAAAAATGAGAGTTAATTATTTGAAAGCGTTAATTTGAAATAGCCGCTTGAGTGCATATGCCATTTCTTGTCACAGCACGCGTATCGTTAATCAGTATTCGAAACTGCTTTTTATTCCAAATTGAATTACAACGTAATTTTCTACCAAAGTTTGCCGTTCATTCTACATCAACTGATTAATAAATCAACATGTAGCAATATTTGGTTGTTGTGTCAATGCAAGTATGAGGTTGTTTTTTTCCGCTTCATAGACAAAATGAGGTGCAACGAAACATGCAAAAGAGCCGTTCTAATTTGTGTTAAAGAAAAACAGTCCTGATGGTCTTTTATCTTTCTCATTTTGATACATGTAAATCCTGGGAACGATTATCATCATAAAAAAATAAGTTATCTTCAAAGACGTAAGGCCTACCTGATTCTTCCACCAAGTATCGTTAACGTCCCCTGTGACAACCCAACAGGTAGCTGATCTTGTATTTTCTGTATTGTGGAACCCTGGAATCTATTTGATAAAAAAGTGGCTTCTTCGGTCGTCCAGTTAAAAACTGGTGGGTTCGTTTCCCGGTTGATCAACTATAATCTAGGCAAGCTGGTAGGAAAGCATACCCCAGCACACTCTTTGCTCGCATTCTTAATGGAATACATTACCGCACGGGGACGTATGTCAAATCGGCTGTCATTAACGGGCATTTTATCAAATATATCAGTAATTTCCCACTCAGCAAACGTTTATTACTCGGTAGCTATATAATTGTACTGGCGGATCACACAAGGACGGGGGGATGATTTTCACCAACTTCATCACTTCTTCTTTCATTACTCTATATATAGCAGGTTCAAAGGGTTCGAAACGGGGACTCCTAGCTGTAATCCATCAGTTCTATAAACGATATTACAGATACCGCGAAGTGTATGCGCACTGGTAGGTCGAATAACGAAAATGTCCACATATGTCACGTCGAAAGATAGGTTTGAAAAGTTTTTTTAATAAGCACTTCTTGTGTCAAGAAAGAATTTATCTTTACAATTCACCGTTCATATTTAAAGGAGATTATGTGTTTCAATAAATGTTAACTATCTAAGATGAGAATACTCGTTTCGGGGTTCGATGGCTAAATATACATTTCTAATACAACGGTAAATTTAGACAACAACATTGTAACAAGAATCATTAGCTAAAATGGCTCCGTGAGAACCCCCCTACCATACATGCCTGTCTAAGCGTAAAGTAAAAATAGTCCTCAGATAGGAGTGTCAGATATAGTTTTAATCGCGAACTCAAACAGTTAATCTAACTTTTACTTCGACATCGGGTTTAAACACCGTTAAAAGAAAATACCAAATAACTTTTGAACTGGGTCCTATCACACTAATCATTAATTTGATGGGACTTCAGGCCCGTAGCCAGCAAATTCAAAAAGGGGGGTCTTTTTCTGAAAAATGGACCTTTTACAATGAAACTTGTGTGTACCTAGATAAAATTTTACCCAAAATGGACCTTTTCATGACAAAAGGGGCGGTTCTTTCGAACCCCCCCGAACCCCCCCCCCCTGGCTACGGGCCTGGGCTTGATTTTGCATGCCTGAGACCTAGGTATGTTGTGCAAAGTGTTCCAACAACATGGAAAATATTGCGTTTGCTGCGATCTCTGTTGCAACGACCTAAATTTTCCCACCTCTTGCTTGCTGAAACTTAGACGGTTACTTATCTAAACAAAAAAAAATCATTTTTTCTGTGTAAAATATTGAAAGTTTTCAGAAGATTTTTAAGTAGTAATACAGCAGCGATTATAGGTTTCGAAATCAACTACTGTGACTGACTGATAACATTTATTTCTCTGGCTGAGAGGTTTGTCGTTTCCTTAGACAAAAAGCTACATGTAGAAAGGCAATCGAGTAAGCGGTGCGAAAATAACTGATGACAATGCAAGCTACACACAATGCACAAAAATATAAATAATGCAATTAATACAAAAATAGCCCTACAGCAACTAGTAAGAGATATATTAAAGTCAATAAAGATGCATATGTTTTCAGAATTTTTGAACTTCCGTATTTTCATTAAATTAATTGAAAAAATGTAAACGATTTTTCTTTAATGTAAAACAGTTTCATTAGCAATGTTATTGTAATAAACTTGTGAAGAATCTTAATTTAGTCTATAGCTACTTATATATTTGTCTGGTCTTACCAGCCAATATTTCGTCTGCTTGCAGTCAGTCTTCATCAGGGAATGAGGTTGTGATAGATGTGACAACCTATGACACCCCTCTGGTGTGCTATTTGGTCAGATCCCCTGTTTTTCCATGAACTTTTTTTGTTTAACCCAGGACCTACATGTACCCAGTGGCAGATTAAGAGGGGAATCAGGGGGGGTCCTGATAAAATATATCACACCAATATTCCCCTCTTGAAATTAGAATTTTGACTAGCTAAATCATAGTTCTAAATCGTACCAAAGGACACTGTTTGCTCTCCAGAAAACCAAAACTTTTCGGGGACCTTGAGCAGGCCCCAAACCCCACACCGAAGGGGCGATGGTCGGCTTTGCATCTGAGGTCGTCGCTCCCCCTTCAAATAATCCTGGATCCGCCCCTGTTTACAGTCTGATTGGTAAATAAGTCAGTCGACAAAATAAATAAAGAGACGAAGGGTGGCCGTTTTTCAGTAGTCATACTAGAACCCACCAAACTGTATTCGGTCCTTGTTACATGTACTCATTCGTGTGAACCTCGACGTTTTATCAAGGGCCTGACCACATAAAAGACCCGTCGAAAATCTGGTACAAGTTGTTATATATATATATATGAGAATATGAGAAATTCAAAATTATGTGATTCGTACATCATTGACGCCTCGCGTCTAGTTCGCGTTATAAACCTAACTTCTGATTCCATGAATGGCGAACGAAGGCTTGAGTTGATGCTGAAAATTTATTTTAGTAAACCTTACTTGCTTCAGTCATGTCTTCACTGCTAAACCATTTCACTACTCCTGTGTAAGCTGACCTTGTAAGCAGTTTATTAGAATGAATTTTCTAAAATGAAGATAAAACAATCCATTAGTTCATCAACTATCAACTATCAGGATTACTTGAAAACACCTTTTTAATAATTTTGATAAACCTTATTACATAATTGAAGTCTATTTTATAGGTTTTTTAAAGCTTATAATCATGTCGGTATTTTTGGGTAATTTCAAAGTCGGGTAAAATCCTCATCGCTCTAGTCGCCGATTACCGACACATAGGGCCTATATCTTTTTTTTTTATAACATTGTTAGAACGTTTTATACTAGATGTGATGGTTTAAGTTGTGCTAATTGTAGTGATGCAAAATATGAAGTCCTTTGTTCGTGTGTTTTTGCCGCATTCGCGGACCCCCCTTCAACTGATCCTGGATCTTACCCTGGACACACCTATAAATCTATTTTCACACACAGGTTGTAGCCCATCTTGACAATTATTTCTTTCAATCGATGTATAGTTATTACCACTGTTTGCGCGGGACGGGGGCTAGCAAGAAGGCTTCGAACATTTAGATGTTTGCTTAACTACTATATTTTGTTATTTGCTTTATTGTTAAGAGAATCTCACAGAGACACACGGTATTGTGAAATGGATTTAAGTGCTTTCGAAACTGACAATAGCTGTAATTGCATCGTTGGCTCTGATATACCAGAAATTGCCAAAAGGGAACCATGCTGGTTGGGGATAGACGAAGCTGGAAGGGGGCCAGTTTTGGGTAGGTATGATGGAGTCAGACAAGGGGTGTGTGTGTGTGTGTGTGCTAAATATTGACCCCTTTTATCATCGTCTAATCCACTGTAATTATTCTTGTTCCCCTCCCTTATCAAAATGTACGTGGGCCTTGAGGTGCTTAAATACTACTGAATATCCACATCCTAATAATCTCTGTGGGTCCTCCGTTGCACCTTGTATTGTGTAAACCCAATTCAAAGTACTTTCATGTCCATTTAGGCACTAGGACAAAAAAGCTAGTCTTGGTCTTTTTTTTTCCAGTTGCATATCTCCCTGCATATCTCAGCTACCTTTTCACCCCACCATGTTGTGACTCGTGTGGTAGTCGAGATATCGTCCTTTATCGTCCTAGTGCCTAAGCGAAAAAGAAAAGCACTTTAAATTGGATTTACACATTATAAGGTGCAATGGACTCGCCCGCACGAAAATGCAGTAGTATCGAAGTAGCAAAGAAGCATTAACGCAGTAGTGGTGTGGAGCATATTTGCAGTAGAAATGCAGTATAGCCTACTGCAATTCTACTTCACAAATCACATAGGGTTGTACAGAAGAGGAGCATTAATGCAGTAGATTTGCAACATGATAGAAGCATGTTTCAAATATGCTAATTAGCTCCCCAATCGAAGCAGATTTGAAGCATGTTTGCAGTATGATTGCAGTAGTCTACTGCGCTGGAGTATCTATTTCGTTTTCGTGCGGGAGGACACACAGAGATTGGCAGGACGTGGATATTCAGAGATATTTAGGCGATTCTAGTTCATGAACATAGCCTTATGAGACCTTACCAGCTGGCAAATCATTTTGTTTCAACGTTGAAACAATGTTGAACTATAATGGTAGTAGAGAAAGGTCTAACAGGATCGGCCCATCTCCAAGGGGATTCTCGCTTAATTGCAATTAACTTAAGTGGCTTAGATGTCTGGCAAGCCTACTGAAGCTGACAGGGGGTAATTACCTATCATTTAGCAGCTTTAGCAGGCGTGCCAGATATCTAAGCCACTTAAGCTGAAAACAATTTAGCGAGAAAATCCATGGAGATGGACCGATCCTGTTAGATGGAATTAGGGATGGGAACCCAGTCTTAGAGTTACTCCAGATTCCCAGCTGATCGAGTGATTACACAGAACCCTGCAATTATTCCCCTCTGCTGCTGAGCCACTGCTTTAAGGGTTTGGTAGGGATGGGGTAGTTATATAACACCAGACAGTCAAATAGGATGTTTTCCCATGGGGACACATACTTAAATTTTGTATACTATTTGAGAAGCCCCTGATATCAGAGGGTACATTGTACCCCCTCCTGCCCCCAATATTAGTCTTTGATTTTCAACATCTTCTCTTTATTAAGTGCAGACTTTTGGCAGTGCCTCTGCTATTCAAAGTGAACAGTATTTTTTGAACGGTTAATAAAAATGAATAAAAATAGAAATTAAGTAATTTGATTTTTATGTACAGACACAGATGTGTCTGTACATATTGCCATCACCTGCGTCTGTCGTCGCCGATGCCGTCGCCGATGCCGATGCCGTCGCCGATGCCGTGCACTTTCCTTGTAAACACGATTAGTGGAGGACAGTTTTACTTTTTGGCTTTATATTTACAGAGCTGATGAATATTCATAAAACGCAGGTCAAGTTCGAAAATCAGCATGATCGGGCCATTATTGTAGTACTTATGCTGTTTTTATGNCGGTGCGGGGGAGTATCGGTGCGGGGGAGTAACGGTGCGGGGGAGTATCGGCATGACCCCACACCGAAGGGGCGATGGTCGGCTTTGCATCTGAGGTCGTCGTTCCGGACTCCCCCTTCAAATAATCCTGGATCCGCCCCTGTTTACAGTCTGATTGGTAAATAAGTCAGTCGACAAAATAAATAAAGAGACGAAGGGTGGCCGTTTTTCAGTAGTCATACTAGAACCCACCAAACTGTATTCGGTCCTTGTTACATGTACTCATTCGTGTGAACCTCGACGTTTTATCAAGGGCCTGACCACATAAAAGACCCGTCGAAAATCTGGTACAAGTTGTTATATATATATATATGAGACTATGAGAAATTCAAAATTATGTGATTCGTACATCATTGACGCCTCGCGTCTTGTTCGCGTTATAAACCTAACTTCTGATTCCATGAATGGCGAACGAAGGCTTGAGTTGATGCTGAAAATTTATTTTAGTAAACCTTACTTGCTTCAGTCATGTCTTCACTGCTAAACCATTTCACTACTCCTGTGTAAGCTGACCTTGTAAGCAGTTTATTAGAATGAATTTTCTAAAATGAAGATAAAACAATCCATTAGTTCATCAACTATCAACTATCAGGATTACTTGAAAACACCTTTTTAATAATTTTGATAAACCTTATTACATAATTGAAGTCTATTTTATAGGTTTTTTAAAGCTTATAATCATGTCGGTATTTTTGGGTAATTTCAAAGTCGGGTAAAATCCTCATCGCTCTAGTCGCCGATTACCGACACATATATCTTTTTTTTTTAATAACATTGTTAGAACGTTTTATACTAGATGTGATGGTTTAAGTTGTGCTAATTGTAGTGATGCAAAATATGAAGTCCTTTGTTCGTGTGTTTTTGCCGCATTCTCGGACCCCCCTTCAACTGATCCTGGATCTTACCCTGGACACACCTATAAGTCTATTTTCACACACAGGTTGTAGCCCATCTTGACAATTATTTCTTTCAATCGATGTATAGTTATTATCACTGTTTGCGCGGGACGGGGGCTAGCAAGAAGACTTCGAACATTTAGATGTTTGCTTAACTACTATATTTTGTTATTTGCTTTATTGTTAAGAGAATCTCACAGAGACACACGGTATTGTGGAATGGATTTAAGTGCTTTCGAAACTGACAATAGCTGTAATTGCATCGTTGGCTCTGATATACCAGAAATTGCCAAAAGGGAATCATGCTGGTTGGGGATAGACGAAGCTGGAAGGGGGCCAGTTTTGGGTAGGTATATTAATGATGAAGTCAGACAAGGTGTGTGTGTGTGTGTGTGTGTGTGTGTGTGTGTGTGTGTGTGTGCGCTAAATATTGACCCCTTTTATCATCTTCTAATCCACTGTAATTATTCTTGTTCCCCTTCCTTATCAAAATGTACGTGAGCCTTGAGGTGCTTAAATACTACTGAATATCCACATCCTAATAATCTCTGTGGGTCCTCCGTTGCACCTGGTATTGTGTAAACCCAATTCAAAGTGCTTTCGTGTCCATTTAGGCACTAGGACAAAAAAGCTAGTCTTGGTTTTTTTTTTCCAGTCGAATATCTCTGCTACCTTTTCACCCCACCATGTTGTGACTCGTGTGGTAGTAGAGATATTGTCCTTTTTCGTCCTAGTGCCTTCGTCCCAGATGGACCGATCCTGTTAGATTGAACTAGGGATGGGAACCCAGTCTTAGAGTTACTCCAGATTCCCAGCTGATCGAGTGATTACACAGAATCCTGCAATTATTCCCCTCTGCTGCTGAGCCACTGCTTTAAGGGTTTGGTAGGGAAGGGGTAGTTATATAACACCAGACAGTCAAATAGGATGTTTTCCCATGGGGACACATACTTAAATTTTGTATACTATTTGAGAAGCCCCTGATATCAGAGGGTACATTGTACCCCCTCCTGCCCCCAATATTAGTCTTTGATTTTCAACATCTTCTCTTTATTAGGTGCAGACTTGTGGCAGTGCCTCTGCCATTCAAAGTGAACAGTATTTTTTGAACGGTTAATAAAAATGTATAAAAATAGTAATTAAGTAATTTGATTTTTGAAAATATGACCAGGTAATCACTTTTACTTTATATCACTGATATCATATACATGGGTAAATTCAATACCATATGTAATAAAAACAAAAAATAAAAACAGATAATCCTTAGAACATGCCTGTTTTACAGTATGTTTTATCTTGTATATTAAATACTACGTTTTCTTTTTTAGGTCCTATGGTCTATGGTACCTGCTACAGTCCAATTTCACTTAAAGATCAGCTGAAAGAGATGGGCTTTGCGGGTAGGTTTTATTGAACTGCTTTACAGTTCATCAGTGGATTCATATTTATGGGCAAAACGGCATGAAATTGATGTTTTGACCATAGCATTTAGCCTAATAAATAGCTTTTTGGTTTCTGAAGAATATTTTTATTGACACTATGTGCTAAATGGAATAATTTTATTTAATATTGTCAGTATTAACCGTCAACTGATATTTTTTTCAGATTCTAAAGTGTTGAATGAAGAACAAAGAGAAAAATTGTTTGAAAAGATAAAAAATTCAACTGAAGTTCTTGGATGGATGATAGAAGTTTTATCACCAAACTTTATTTCTAATAGCATGCTACGAAGGTAATGGATGCAACTAGTAGTAGTAAAGGGTACTTGAATCTAATTACAACGCATCCTTCAAATTGACATGTGTGTAATCAGCTAAGTTTTATTTTGTCTTTTTTAATTGTAAACTTAACTTTGTATTTTGTCAGTATATTGTTTACTCAAGTCCCTTGATTATAATTACATGTATTCCTACTTGGATTTTTACATGTACAGACAAATGAAAATCAATAACTTAAAAGATTCATAAAATGAAAATGACTTTAAGGGTGTATTCCCAGAGATTTAGATCGATCCAGAGATTAAGATTTAGATCGTCGGGGGTTCACGGTAAATTGCAGTGAGCCGAGGGCACACCATAGTTAATTACCCCTTTACAGCTTTCAGTAGACAGGACAGGGCGCTTAAGCCGGCTAAGCTGACAGTAATCTAGTGAGACTCCCCACAGGGATAGATCGATCTAAAATCTATGGAAATGGGGTCTAAGATTGAAATTTTAGAACATTTATAAAGTCATTGATAAGACTGGGCATTGACAGTGCATCTGGTTATTTTATTATTATTATAATTATTGTAATTTATTTCAGGTCAAAGTATAATCTTAATGCACTATCACATGATTGTGCTATAGGTTTAATAAAAAAAGCCCTTGACAAAGGTGCAAATATAAAAGAGGTATGTTTTCTTTTTTTGCAAATCAGTACATTTCTGTAGAGTCATAGATATATCATAAAATCATGAAAAGAGCCATATATATTACGCTGAGATATTCTGTTATTTCACTTCGTAACTCCTGACTTCACTTTACCATTTCATTTTGAGCAGAAATGACTCTAGACTTGTCAGAAGGATTTCATGTTAATGGTTAGATGATCACATTAAAAGTTATGAAATTTCAAATTTTTTTTCAAGTATTACCAATGTTTATTTACTTGTGTATTCAGTTATATAAATATAATTCTTCATTCTTTTCAGGTATATGTTGACACAGTAGGTGACCCAGCAAAGTATCAAGCAAAACTGAAAGGAATCTTTCCAGATCTGGACATAACAGTAGCCAAGAAAGCCGACTCCATTTATCCAATAGTTAGTGCTGCAAGTATATGTGCGAAGGTAAACAAGACTAGACTGGTCTATTACAATTCTCTTCTCTATACTACTCTGCAAAAAAAGTTAAAGATAAGTAATTTGTGCATCAGATATGTGACCTACAACTTCAGATGCAATGTGTACCTCCGTCTTCATTTCAGTTCAATTCTCCATTTTTTGTGTAACACATATGATGAAATTGGGCATATGTAGAAATTTGAAAATGAAGAAGCTAGCCCACTTCCAAATTAAAACTTGGGTAACAATTAGGTGGGATAGCAAATTTGTTGGTTAGTTTGAGATATGATTTGAAGGATTCAATAAACTCTAATGGGGAATTTTTACCTCATTAAAATTATCATTTCATATCATATCATTTGTAATGCCTCTGCATTAACATGATGCAATTCTGGAATGTTATATAGGTAGCTCGTGATAATGCAGTCAAGAACTGGACTTTTAAAGAGGGGATTACAGTGGAAAACTTTGGGTCTGGCTATCCTGGGGGTAAGTGATTCTTTTAAGTGCAGAGAAATACGGTTTTGAGATACACTTTGTAATATGATTTATATTATTTCTTTCATACATGCCTTTATTTTGCTTTATGCGAATTAAAATTAACATTTGTGTAATCTTTTGTCCAATTTTTTTCAGACCCAGCAACAAAGAAATTCCTTACTGATTATCTTGACCCCGTGTTTGGATTTCCACAGTTTGTGCGTTTTAGTTGGTCAACTGCAGACCTTTTGTTGCAGAAAAATGCTGTCTCTGTGAAATGGTAGGTGACTTAAAGGCACACAATGAGCAGTGACGCTTTATATTGCAAAAATTGATTTTTTGGAAATTCAACACTTTACCCTTGATTACCAAGCTTGGCCTTATCTAGAACTGTTCACAGAATTACTTTCCATGAATTACTTGTGAAATTTATTCTTGATGGTAAAAATTAGACAGTTAGAACTTAAAAACAAGTGTACAGTCAGTATTTTTCTTAGTGGTTTTGGATAACATATACCTTGGTGCTGAAGTTATATGAAGTTGTATATTGTTTTTATCTCCAAGAAAAGTTTTGATATTTAAGTTTGTAACTGTATTTTATGCCTTCTAAACAACTGGTATTGCATTCATATTTCAAGTGTTTCAGTGCTGAACTTTTTGGCATAAAATTTTTCAGTATATGTAGATATTGTTTTAGGCAACAAGAAAAGATAATTTAGATGCACATTCAATGTGTTTGTTTGTTAAGAACCTAGGACCAGTAGAGGCATAAGTTATCAAACTACTAGATGGTTTTTAACTGGAAAACTTAACATAAACCATATTTTGGTCAGATCAAAAAGACAGTGAAGTCGAAAAACCTAAAGTACACGACTACAGTTTTGAATCTTGCTTTTGATTTTTCATTGCCAATTTTACACTGTAAAGTTTATTTTGGGGGATGTATCCTTTTTACTATGTATTCATTTCAAAAACTGTTAAATCAACATGAACTTATTTTTCATGACATTTTGTCTATACTGTAAATATCTCTCAATTTATTTCATTGCAGGGAAGATGACGATGATGATGACCAAAATGATAAGAAAAGAAAAAAAGATTCAGCTGGAACACATTCCCTTTTCACATTTTATAAAAGTGAAGAGACAGGAAACAAGAGATCAAAAAAACATTCATTTTTTGATGAAAGATGCTTGAAAAATATGACACATTTTTAGTCTTTTTTTGTGAGTGTCAGCTTGAGAGACCTAATATTTGAAATTAAAAAGCTGACATAAACTGGAAGATAGCTAGATAGCTGCTATATGAGATCAATGAAATGCCTCTTATGAATAATGTTTATAAAATGTCTTTTTTGCTTCCGAATGTGGGATTTATCAAATGTGTGAAATGTTGAAATAAACGAAAAAAATGCAATAATGTAAAACATTGAAAAATTCACTATGTTTTTGGCTCATTGTATCACCAGCCCAGTGCTGGCAGTACACCTGGTTTTAGTCCCAACCTGTCTCGTCTGCTGGCACCCTTTCTAGACTAAAGTCCCCACGGTACCCATCTCCTGGATTTGGATCACATTTAATCTCAACTTGATCCATGTAAATTTTGTGCTTTGTCGGTGCAGCGGTCTAGGTGTGGTGTTCATCCCAATCTTGGACACAGAAGCGTTATTATGTCCAAGTCCCAATGCACCCTTGTCGGAAATTTGATGGTTAATATAATCCTGGATCCCCCTGTATATGTCTGTGAAATAAAATTATTTCTAATTGCATAATTTACAAACGGTTCGTGTGGATCAAAGTTGTCCCAATTTGTGAGCAAAAGGGGACTTCACTTTTTGAAAGTAATGAAAATATTGGAGAAAAGCCAAAGATGCATTTTTTCTCTTATATGCAAATTAAGTCCCCTTTAATATATGACTGGTCAGAATTGATGCTCATATCACAGATTAGTAATGGTGATGATCTTGATGGCCATGATGATAATAGGGTGATTCAAAAAATCTTATCAAAGTTTTCATTTGTCATCTGGTGAGATATTTTCTACACTCCACAAGGAAAGAATGGATACCAACATGCCTCAGAATTGTGCTGCAGATGACACGACTTTTGGGTTAAAATCGCACGCTAAGATATTAGGATATAATTATGATATATCTAGGTAAAAACTGCAAGTGTAAAGTTTCAGTGAGTGAAAATGGATATCTGCAAACCATTAAAATTTTGACTATATTTACCAGTATTTCACAAGGGTCTATTGGGATATTCTCTCTTCAAATTAAGAGCTTGCTTTCAGAAGGGGGTGTTACCAGATCTTTATCTTGTACTTGTCCTGGCAATATTTTTTGTCATCACCAGTGACAGTGGACAGTTTTATAGGACTTTTGCCTACAAAAAAGTATCAAATATTCAAAGATGTTGCTATATGCTACTTTGAATAAATGGAAATTTTTGTGCATAAAATGCTTAGGATGTAAATATACAATGATTTTCAGTTGCACAGTACATCCATGTATTTACGATGTATGAAATAATAATAATAATAAAATAAAAAACAATGGCTTCTTTAACCTAAGAAATAATTTAATTCCTTCATGTTCTTTTTGTTGATATATGCATGTACATACTTTATAATTTCCAAAGGAATAGAGAGTAATAAATCATACTTCTTGATGTTTCAGGATGTCAAGTCCTGTCATTTTCGTCATAATCCTCCTAAAATTGTGCCCAATCTTCAAATGAAAGGTTTTTTTGCTATTTGATAATTAAAAGAATATAAGTTCCATCTTAAGAGATGTCACACTGCTTTATAGCAATTAAGTCGCCACCAACATTCTTAGTTTCTCTCAAACATTTGGAGAGAGGGGGTGGAGAGAGTTTTACTCTATTTCTTCCTTAATAATGACAAAACCACTCTTCCAGTACTTTACCCTCACTACAAATGACCAAACACACCTACCTGACACAATAATGAAGAAAAAAAATTTCATCCCTACCTGGCCAAAATAAAAGAAAACTGCCATACACGCGCCTTATGAAAATCACTCAAAATCACCCAAAAATGACCGGTCACCAATTTTTCCGAAATGTGATGAAAATCAATCTAGCACATCTGTCATTCATAAAAAATGTGGAAACACGCCCGGATCACTTCATTAAAGCCCCCAATTTCAGCTTTAAAAATTGCCAGAGAGCACACCTGAGAACTGGATTTGGAGAAAGGGGGGGGTGGAGAGAGTTTTTGCTCTATTTCTTCCTTAATAATGACACAACCACTCTTCCAGTACTTTACCCTCACTACAAATGACCAAACACACCTACCTGACACAATAATGAAGAAAAAAAATTTTCATCCCTACCTGGCCAAAATTGAAGAAAACTGCCATACGCGCGCCTTATGAAAATCACTCAAAATCACCAAAAAATGACCGGTCACCAATTTTTCCATAATGTGATGAAAATCAATCTACCACACCTGTCATTCATAAAAAGTGTGGAAACGTGCCTGGATCACTTCATTAAAGCCCCCAATTTCAGCTTTAAAAATTGTCAGAAAGCACACCTGAAAACTGGATTTGGAGGGGGGGGGGTGGAGAGTTTTTGTTCTATTTCTTCCTTAATAATAACACAACGATCCAAAAAGTATGTCACTGAGTGATAAAATATCTAGTTTTCTGTTGTGAGATATTTTGGTTAATAATATCAAATCTGACATGAGATAACATCTAAAAGAAAAGAACACCTCCAGAAAACCATATCACCAGTTTTTTGTCAGTATTAAAGATATTAAAAAAAATATTAGCCTCCAGTCAGTGGTATGCTGAAGTCAAAGAGCTCATACAGTAAATCAGGAAAAGTATTCAATGGCAGGTAAGCTTCCAGCAGCTGCTTGCAGCACCTTCCAACCACGTGGCATATCCTTTTACAAGTTTCTCAAATTTGGATGGGGATATCATTCCACACAGTGATAATTGCCTGTCATAGTTCATCACGATTTACGGCTAATGATAGTAGCTATCAATTCTGTGAGTGACTTTCGCCCACAGATTTTCAGTTGGGTTCAAATCTGTGGAGTTTGCAGGCAGTTGCTGGACCCCTTGGTTTTGAATAAAAAAAGTGATTCTGCCGGCTCTATATGTGGGTACGTTGTCATCTTGGTACTCAAAGTTGTTCCTGAAGGTGGTGAAAGGAAGCATTGTTTGCTGTAGCATGTCTCTGTAGGAATCCTGGTTGAGGTTGCCTTATAGAAAAAGTAACTGGCTCTCGGCACCAGAGATGCTACCACCCCCTGCTTGCACCCAAGGCAGTACACAAGCATTGTTTTATGCCTGTTGTACATGCTTGCAGGCATGGATTCGACTGTCAACCCTAAAAACTTCACATCTGTCCTCATCACTGAAAACGACACGATTCCAGTGGTTTGGCTACAAATGCAAGTGGTCCAGTGCCCATTGCCCACATTGCTGTATATGACCTGCAGTAAAGAGAGTTTTTAACTGGTCTTTGTGCAAAATAACCAGTTGGCAATAGTCTCTTGTTTACGAGGGACCTTGAAACAGGTGTTTGAATGTTACTGCTTCGTAAAACTGGCCCCTGTATGTCAAAACACAGTTGCTTTCATGTCTGCTGGAAAAGTGTTTCATTGTCCAGGTAGTCTGCAGTAGTAGTAGTCTATTAGTTTTGTTGTACCACTTGAAAGGAGTGTCCTTATGTTAAAGAGTTATGATTAAAAAAGTGCAGAATCTGTAAAATCACTAATTTTTCAAATTGAAAAAATAATCATTTGTTATTTTTGTTTGATATTGTATATAAGTAAAAAACTATTAATTATAATACAGTGTATAGTCATTTAAACATGAGGTATCATTATCAGATGTCTTGTATAAGTGTACTCTATAAATTTATTAATTTATTTGGGTTTTAAAAACTAATTTTGCATTTTCACAAGTTGCGTGCTTTCTGATCAATTTCATTAGACATGCAGTACTCCTTCTGTGACATCAAGAGAAAAACCACCACAGCAGAACAATTAAAATTTAATTTTATTGATACCACCAAAAGGCATCACCAAATGATATCACAGACATTGTACTTTCAAATCTTAAAAATGATTAAGTATAATCCACTAAAAAAGAATTAAACAGTTTACATAAATGTACTCCAAAACTTAATCAGCATTTTGTTATATTGGATAAAGGCTGCACTGTATTTTTTAGATTTACAACAATGATACAAAATTTAAATGTAAAAAGCAAGATCCTGAATAACATGATTTTGCTCAGTACAATATAACAAATAAACAGATCTTTGATTAAAAAAATTATTACAGACTAGAAGCTTTTTAGAGCTGTATTTAAACATGGCACACATCCTGTATTTCTTTAAAGAAGACTACAAAGAAAGACAATTTATATGCCATAATGCAGGAATGTACAATTATGTATTGTCCATCCCCCTGTATAAATCATATTAGGTAAAATGTTTTAATAAACTGGATTCAAATCACTGGACTTGTAAGCACCACTGTCTGAATGCTTTGTTTGAATTAACTAGTACGGAGCTCTTCATGTTTGGTACTACCCAACACTTCACTTCATCATGAGAAAGAACAAAGATAAATTTACACATACAGATGGAAATGTTCGTGGAAAGAAATATACATAATTCCCTTTTTCATGTTACCATTTAACTGACATTTCTCTGATTAATCAAGTTCTAATTAATGTCTGAACATATAAAACAAAATTCTGCTCCTTTTTTGTAAAAATAACATTTTGATTTGGGTGAAGTTTCTAACATATCAAATAAATTGACAAGTTCAGAATGTGAAAGGTGGAGGGCAACTCTTTTAAAACTAAATCCTTTGAAATCTCAAGTGAAATGCTTGGAGATTTATTTTAGTTCTTAGTTTGGGGCATAGAATACCTCTACATATATAAATATCCATATATAAATATTCATTATCCAATATCCACTTGAGGGCATTATTAAATGGCATACACTTTTTTCCAAGCAGGGTCAAAACTGCAAGCATTGGGCAGCTACGAAATCTACTGTTAACAGACCAACTTTGACTTTGCCTTTCAGATTAAACTGCATACATTTCATAGCAGTAGCTTCAATTCTAACACACACACCTCATTTTGAAATATTGGCATGACTAAATCTATATATAAAGTTTCAATATACAGTGTATCACAAGCGGAATTTACACTTTTTCCATGTCTTCTTTTACATCTTCATCTAACGCCTGCAAAACCCATGGGTACCACTTCCCTTCATCCCTTGGAGTAAGACCTTTGCTACACTTAACCTCCGTGTCCACTCCTGCCCTCTTCAATACACCAATCACAACCACTTTCTGTGACCTTGCTGCCTCATGCAGAGGGGTCTTTCCAGAAAAATCCTTTGCACCAGCATACTCAGTAGGCCCAGAAGGGGCACTTGCAAGGAAGAGTTCCACTATGGGCGATGTGTCAAATACATAAGGAGACATGCATGCGCTGTGTATTGGATACCTTCCCTTGTTATCAAAGGCATATAAGTCAGCACCATGACTTAACAATAATTTAGCAGCATCTACTAAGTTATATCTGCCACAGACATGTAAGGGGGTCCAGCCAAGATCGACAGCAGTGGAGTTGACATTTGCACCAGCCTTTACGATTAGTTCCAAAATTTCCAAGTGGCCTTTGTACAGAGCATAATGCAAGGCATTGCTGTACTTAGGCCAGAATGATAAACAGTTAGTCAGCTCAAACGGCTCTTCACAAAGATCCTTTGCATTTGTGCCTGCATAACTTAAAATGTTTTTCACTCTGCTGATATCATTTTCATTAATGGCTTTTCGCAGTTGTTTGGAAGGTTCTTGACCCATTACATTTCAATCATGGAAGACAGATGAGACATGCTGTAAAGAAAACAAAAATTTATATATATATATATATATATATATATATATATATATATATATATATATATATATATATATATATATATATATATATATATATACCTGTATATATAGTACAATATATGTATATGATGCTACTGGTATCCTAGAGCAGCAGTCAAGTACAAATGTTGTTTTGGTCAGGGTTTGTGGAAAGATAAAGAAAAAGAGAGATGCTATTTACTATGGCAACTAGTATTACATATTCATGTAAGACCCTGCTAAAAAATGTGTAATGTAATATTTAATGTAAAAGCTTCAATTAACCAAGTACAGGTACAGCTAGGCCAATAAGACCGTTCACAGTAGGTCACGGTCAGTGCGACCGTGACTCCTGATAACCCCCGCGTGGATAATAACAGGGCAAATAGCGACAGTTTAAGCTGTTAAGTTATCAATCGTAACCATCTCGGACTCCCCGCTGTCTACATCGTGTCCCGTCAAGCAGCCTGTGCAATCATACGCCCCGCTAGTCCCAAGCATTGTTCTGGTGTAGAACGGCACGTGCCCTTTGTTAAGACATGGAAGACTAAATGTTGGGTTTAACCAAGGAGTTATAACTCCTTGGTTTAACCATGGTTCAAGCACTGACGATATTTCTGTTTATTCACCGCATTCCAAACTTCGTAGACATTTTCAAAAATAGAATTTTGTAATTGAATGAAATATAATTAATTTACCGATGTTGCCCTTTCATCTTAATTTTGGCTTCTAAAGGTGAAACGATAAGAGTCACGACATGCTCAAGCCAACTGAAAAAGTGAAGTATGAATGAAGGGCTAGATTAATTAGACAGCTTGATTTAGGTTTGTCAACTGCCACATCGACACGCGCTACCTGTGAGCGTGTGCCTTTACATGTACACTCATTAGGCGTTCTGAAATAATTAAATAATTTTATAAGTCAAATGTGTTGATTATTACAAAATGACAAAAATGAAATAAAAAATACGTGCAACTAATCACCTGCTGTAATAAGTTTTAATTACGTGTTTGGTTAAAATTCGTTTAAATTTCAAGTTTGATGAAACAGCGTTATCATAGCAAAAGATGCAATCTTTTCTGTACACTGCTGTTTAGAGTATATACAATTGATTGGTAGGTTGTTAATGTGCACTGTATTTAATGATATTTCTTGTTTATCCCTTGACTTTGAGTGCAGAAATCCTGCTGAAGCAGTGCGAAGTGCATACAATAAAATCGCCCTGGCTCTCTCGAAAAAGTATACCCCCCCGCCCCATATTTATTTAAACATTTCGCNGGGGGGGGGGGTGGCCAGAGTTTTTGCTCTTTTTCTTCCTTAATATTGACACAACCACTCTTCCAGTACTTTATACTTACTACAAATGACCCAACACACCTACCGCAAAAAAAAAAAAACACAAAAAAAAAAATTCTTGTCCAATCACGGACTGTTATAGAAAAAAAACACACACAAAAAAAATTCTTGTCCAATCACGGACTGTTATAGAAAAAAAACACAAAAAAAAATTCTTGTCCAATCACGGACTGTTAATCACGCACTGTTATAGACGAATGAAGTTCTGTGAGAGAAATTAGTGATTTTTCCAGTTTTTTTCCCTGATATTTTTTAGTGTTGCTAGGTTTAATTTTGATGTCAAGGAGCAGGTTGGGCCGTCAATTGCTGCCAATTTCTTTTGCAGGACCAGGCTCAGTAGCCTACTGTGCCGTGTGGGACTTCTGGCGGAGGGATCGAGCTTCTGACTTTGAGCTGTGCAGTGGTTTGTTTACAAACAAGGGGTGTGCACGTGTTCAATACTGCATGACGATATGAAAAGTACCGGTAACTCTTTGCAGTATAATTTTGTGTGATTGGCAGTTATGTCAGTGAGTCTGCTGTCTATAGGATTACGAAATATTTCACAAATTATTTTGTTCATGCAGTTTTGTTGGCATTTCTAAGACTAAGTGCGGCCGTCAGGCGACGGTCAATGGGAATATAAATTATTCGTCGTTTTCCATTGTTCTCATAATGTGTGCATGTAAACGTATTACAAAATAAACTGATATTGTCGAAGCCATTTGCCCGTAGCTCCTTATGTAGGCCTCACATTTCAGAATAAATCACATTAATGTTACAGTGCTAATATTAACATTTAAAACACATTTTTAGTGCAACAGTTACTTCTTGTTGAATTCATCTAAGGACAATTACAACGTTTAAAACATAACATGACAGATAAATGGCCTTAATCAATATCAATAATAATAATAATAATAATAATAATAATAATAATAATCACCGTCTGCAGCTGCCACGCCCCGTTTGTAAGACATCTTGACACAGTTTGAAATAACGCGGGTTCTCGAGTCAGATTCGAGATGTAAACAAACACAATTCATGAGTGATGAGAGACCACGCATGTTTAGAGAACCTTAACAGGTAATCAAGTTATATTCACTATGAGCAGTTTTCAAATACATGTAGGAAGGTACCGTGCACGTGGCGGGGAAACCAAAATGCCTGGTAGTGGAAGGTAAGTAGCGTAAGTAAGCGCTAACGTTTCCTCCTGTAACGCATTTGCACTCCCAAACCACTCGTACTGGGTACTGCTGCGATACATGTAGGCTTAATTACTATCTCACCTACTGAAATAGTTAATGTTTGCTGGATACTGTAACTGAAATGCGGTTTTGTGACTCACAGTTTATTCCTAAGGAAGAAGCCGGATAATCTAGTCTTTTCATGAAACACATAAAGATTTTAGGATCATGTTACTTAGTCTTTGCCAATAACTCCTTACTTACTACCTTACGTACATTCTTTTGGGTATCAGATAAATCTTCAGTGTTCAGTGACCAAATAAATTGACATTTACACACTTGTCATCTTACAGGTGATGTCATGATTGTGATTTTGGGCTAAAAATTTTTAAAAAATTGGTATCTGAATGTTCACAAAACATGACAATATTTTTTGCTAATTAAAAGTTACGTGAATAAGGAGCATTTTAATCTTTAATGGTGTTTCTGGTTTAAACTGGTTCTCACAGAAGTTCTCACAGATGCCAATGTTGCACACTTAGGCAAGTACATGCCATTTACGTCTTAATATTATAATTAGAAAGCAAATTCATTATTTGAAATGTGACTACATGTCATGTATGTGATTATAAAGTTACACATTTTTGTTATTCTAGTATATCCATCTAATTTTATGCAAACTCAATATTCCAGGAAAAAATTGACCTGGGATAAAACATGTATGGCTTATTTGGCATGGGGCAAAAAATCTTGGAAAGAAGAATCTGATATCACTGTGAGTAGATATGCATGGGAACAACACAAACTGTTGCACCATTTTCTATATTTTCAGGTAGAGAAAATAAGTGAGCTTTTTTTTCCATCGCAGATGTTTTCTTTTTTTAATAGAGTTATAAACTAAGAATTTAAAAGCTCTTTTTTTGCAATTTTATATTTTATGCTGGACGGACAAAGAGTACAAGAGATCTGGATGCATGGACCAAAGACATATAAATTATACTCTCACTATTGGGAATGCGAGCAAGACTACGGAAATGTTTTGGTGAGATATTGCTGCAGTGTTTTGTTTATTTATTTATTTGACAAAAATCTCACAGTGTAATACCACAGTCTAAATTTAAGTATACACTTTAAATTATAAATTATGTATGTATATTATAATATACTTATCAGGTAACAAAAATTATATGGACTTAGTCCCCATTCCCATTCCTAGATCAATCTAGCATGATCGACCCATCTCCGAGGAGATTCTGACTAAGTTGCGTTCAGGATAAAGCAGCTTAGATGTCTGACATGCCTACTGAAGCAGCTAAATGATTGTTAATTACTTCCTAACAGCTTCAGTAGGGGTGCCAGGCATCAGCACCACTTAGGCAGAGATAGGTTGATCCTGCTAGATTGATCTAGGTATGGGAATGGGATCTAACACTGATCAGATATCAGTCTTTATTCAGTCAAGGCAAAGTCTATAAAGAAAGTTCATTTTCACTTCCAGCCAAAATGGAGGGGTGCTCTACCATCACATTCAAAATGAACATGGATTGTTTTTAGAGATGGTCTGGGGGAAGCACACAGTCAGCATGAACCTATCCCACCAGAGGCTGAGAGGAACAAACCATGGCTAGAACCTGGGTCACATGCAGTTCCGGCACTGGTAGAAACTGTTCTAAACAAGAGGTTTCAAAACAACTTATCTCAGGTTATTAACACAGGTAATATACTTGTAGCAACATTAGCATATTATAGAGGATACAAGTGGAGTTTTTGGCTCATCACAAAGAACCTCTCCAGACCCAAAACTTGTTTAAGAAAATGTTTAAGGACTAGCTGCTGTTAACAAGATGACAAGATGGGAAACTCTTTTTGTGTTTTCTCAGCTGTGTGCTGTTTTGTCTTATATGTAGACTCTGTTAGTACTGTGATGGATACTGTACGTATATATTCAGGTACAATGTATGTTCTAATTTATGCAAAGAATCGTTGTTAAACAACTCTGGTAGGAAAATTGTAGAGCCTTGATTTATAAAAATCACTATATAAAGTTAAATCTATACAAATGTAGTAAGAGGCATTTTCAGNTTGATCTGCTGAACATTGTCCTTGGTCTAGATCCAATTTCATCTGATGAATTATGGGGAGCATCTCTATATAACTGACCGAATTTTTTGTCAGTAGATGGTACTAAACTGGCACTCTGACTCCTGTCATGAACACTTTTTCTGTTTTCAATACTCAGCTGGTCTCTTTCTAATATGTGAAGAAGTGTTCTTTTCTCATAGTCAAGTCTTTTCACCTCCTGATTACACTCGTTTTTTAATCGTTCATGTTTAGAAAATAAAGGCTTGTTTTTGATTGGGGAATGCATCACTTCAAACAATACATGTTTGTCCTGGACGGATGCTGATTGCTTGTAGCGCAGTCTCTGCATTTTCAACAAATAAGTCTGGAATGAGTAAAAGTGTTTATGTATGATTAGAAGTGGTGTTTTGCCAATACTGAAGTGCTAAAAAATAGAATATGCACAAATGCAGCCCTTTCGACAGTGGTAATTTCTTTTAGTAAATCATTTCAGCTTGTTTTTCAAAATATGCAATTCTAATAGGCTTGAATGGATAAAAATCTGATGTTGAAAGAACCACAGGTATTTTTTATGCCTTCATCTAAAGTGATTCAACTAATTTTTCTAATTTGGCACAATTCACTGCATGGTCAAAAAAAAAAAATCAATTGCCACATTTAGGGTTCAATGTAAATAAATTGCACTGTGATACACATAACACATTAAAAAAAAAAAAAAAAAAAAAAACTAATGTAGTTCTATGCATCAAGTGCAAATAAACTAAAATCACTACTGAACTTAAGATTTCCAGCTTGAGATTCTTTGTAAAACTTGGGCTTATTTTCACTACATTTCTTGAAATGTTTCTATCCAGTTCCTTGTTACTGCCCGAAAATGATTAAATCAAAGTCAAATAAATTACTGATGAACACAATTATAAATTATCACCTACCATTTTCTTTCAGAGTTGTGAATCTAAAGAGCATTTGGTTTTTTTTAAACAGCTGCCCTTTTTTCTTTACATATACTACAGACACTCAATAGAAGCATCAAACAAGTCTTGGAGGGAGTGGAGAAGAATAGAACTTACCTTCCTCAGACAGTTTCAATACTCTGTTCAAGGAATTTTTTCATCTTATCTTCTATCATTATCAACCTCTGTGTAATTCACCTTATCATGTAACAAATACTTCACAACCTTCGGAATGGTCACATTTGAAACTGATGCCAGTTAATGAGACTATATGGACCAGTGCAGTGTTTGGTGACCACACAGTTCCATTCAGGATTAACATGAATTAACCTGCTAGCCATTCACGATTGTAACAACAATTTCACAATACTGTCTCAACAAATGTGGGGGAATACAGAGGCCAATCTAAAGAAACACTTCTAGTCCATAAACAGAGATTGTTTATATTGCACCTCCAATAAAAATAAATCAGTACACCTGTTAGTAACTATAGAATAAGTCCTACAAAAATATTTGCAGCTAATTTAATTTGATGGTTCAATAGGAGAAAAAATGTGCCACAAGTTCTGTGATAACAGTTTTAGACGCCTGGTTGCTATACATATGCTCAAGAAATAAAAACAGAAAAACACCTTTTCTACAAAATGCCGTTTTCAAAACAACTTGAGCGTAATACTTATGTTGAAACCATGCTAAATTCTTTCATAGTGTCTTAAATAAATAGAATACAATATAACTATACTAACAGTTTAGTGATTTTTACAGGCCATTTACTGCTTTATTCAGTTTTAATATGTGCCATATTGTGCACAAAAAGGTATACTTTTAGGAACTTGAATCAAATTTTGATTACACTTAATTGAGGCAGTAAACAAGATGGCCAATCCAACTTTACACTCTCCTTGCTTGTTGAAGTAATATATATCTATTTTTCTATCTATTGAATTGTTATTGAATTAGCTAAATTTTGAATGTATATTCAGGCATTTACAATGTATCACATTAAATAAGTCAATAAGTACCAATCCTAAGTTTTACATCAATAAAATAGAAAAAGAAAATACTTAAAACACTTTTATTTTATCAGATATACATTACAAAATTATTTTTTATTTCAATGAGTTATTGCTTGGGCCATGAGTATCGTTATTTCTAGACATTCTTTTAAGAGAATGAATATTATGTCAAACATGACCATAGATTTAAATGTTTCAATCGATAACACAGAAAGGTGCTAAATTTAAATTATCAAAACAAAACTTTTAGAGTATCAACAGTATCAAAGTGTTAATTATGAATTGACATAAGCGATATGTGAAAAAAAAACTAACAATTACTAACATCATACAACTTCACATTTAAGCTTGAAATGTTAAAAAACCACAATAGCTATGACCTATCAAATAGTCAAACTGCCTCAGTGCCAATTCCTAGTTTCAATCAGTCTGATAAAAATACTTAACAAAAGTAAACATTTGATGCTAAGCAACAGCACTTTCAAACTAGATACATGTATGTATAAAAACTGTTTTAACAATTTTTCATAAGACTATCATACAAATCAATTAAACAAGAAAACTATTAAAACATGTTATAACAACCACACCTGAAGTTAAACCAATATCCACTGAAAAAAATAATAATTTAAAGAGAAAACTTGTTGTCTGTCAGACAGCATGCAATTGCACTAATGCCACTGGGGTTCCTAAAACGTAAATAGAACCACCCTTTTATGAAAATTAAATCTTTCCAGTGTATCTTATACCAAGTTTAAGAACACACAACGTTTAACACTATTGCACAGTTAGTGATGACTTTTTCAAAAAGAAGTCAAATATTGCTAGTTGAAGGAAGGTGTTATCTAGAGTGCTTTATGTACCTTACATCAAGATCAAACATGCAGCACAGGATGCTACATGTACATGTACCAACATGATCAGAACATTACCATATGATAATGCTGGTAAATATCAGACTAAAAAGGAAATTGAACTTTCAACAAATGTGTAAAATGAGCACATGGATGTACACATCACATAGAAATTCAGAGAGCCTAGAAAAAGATGAGGTAAATTGTTTGCTACTTGAGGTTTTCTCTCACAGTTTTAACAATGTCATTGTTTCACATTCACGTGTATGTATGTGCCCCTGCACACACGTAGTTAGCCATTTCCAAACTCCTCCCAAAGAATAATTTAAATTTAAAAATGACAAAGTGAAAAATAGAGGTACTTGAACTATGGATCAGTCCTTGAAACCTGCACAGTTTAGTCATAAAAACCGAGGCAGATTAATAATTATTGAAAGACTCCTTTGTGGTTTATGGAATGCTCAAAATATATAAATGCATGTGTGTCATACGGCCATCAAAATCTCCAAATAAACTGATGTATGGTTATTACATGTCAAATGTAAAAAAATTGAATTTTGATCATTTTCAAAAAGAATTACCCCAAAACAAATTTTAGAAAAACGTAAAATATTCATTTTAACAGCTTTGAAAGATTTGTAGGCTTAATGTTGGAAAGTTTTGGTGAGTGACTGAAAATAGGTAATCTTGGAAATGTCAGATAACAGAAATCAGGAATTTGAAAAACGTATGGTTGATACGTATATATACTGTACTACTCATTCAATGCTTCAAACTGGCATTGGTCATCCACAAAAGTACAGCAGTATAGTAATTAACAGGATTCCTGCACATGCTCTTGCTGCTCCAGGATAATTTTTTAGTATTGCATATCTGAACTAAGTTTACTTCCTTGACATGAAAAAAAGAGTATCCTCCGAAACAGAAAATGCTCTGGTCCAGTGCCACAGCCGCAGTACAGCTCAGTTTCTGGTGAATCCAGGAAATACTTGTCCACTGATCTGTCAATGGATCATAAACCTCACACTGAAATATAAACACAAAATGTCTAAATGTAAGTTTCTTTGTGAAACACACCATTGAAAACACACTTTGTTGACTATTAAATGCATAATTATATTTATGAGTGCCATATTTATTATGAGTGCCATATATGCAGGAGGTTGCTATATACTCTTCATGGTTGGACACATCCATAAAGACCTACATGTAGGACCAGTTTCACAAAAGAATTTTAGCCTAAAAATTGGTCTTGATTTTAAATTAATTTTACTCTAATACACATTTTTAAGTATAAGAAAATGATGCCACGGGCAATCTAAACATTTTTATGCTAAGTAAGACTGTATACATATTAAACTGTATATAATAGAATCCACAACATGAACTGAAATGGGGTTCATATCTAGTAAATACTTCAGAGTACCAGTCTACAATACATTCAGTGTACTAATACATGACATTTTAACAGATGTAATCAGAGCCAAAAATATTAGAATATTAGTAATTTTATTTCTTGTTTATTTATCAGACTATAAAGGGCAAATTTACTAACTTAATAACCCCACTTAGTAACTTATTGGGGATGACTGTGCTGGAACACAGTGCTGATGAAGATTTACTCTGATAATCACATTAATTATATATTACTATGCTAAGCTAGTGAGATTCTCATTCTGAAACTTTGTAGTAATGGAGAAACAAACTGTATGAGAATTAACAGGGTGATTTTCCAAAATCAATTATTTAGAACTCAAAAATAGGTTAAGGGATCTTGATTTTCTCAGTGATTTTAGCCTGGCTATTCATTGAATTTTAAGAAAAGTATTTAAATTTCTAGGGAATTTTTCTGCAATATAGAAAAAGTTTGGCAAAGTTGGGACTAATTTTTGGGGTAATCTGGGATGGAGGAGTCATAAATAGGCTCTCATTCATTGTGAGCCTTATAATGAAAAATATAGACTGTGCCCACACATACCCCTAAATCTTCCAAATTATCATCCTCTGGTGTCCTTGGCCCACATCTTCTACACCCACCAAGCACATAGATCTTGTCTTCCACTGCTAGCATGCTGTGGTAAGACCTTTCCTTTATCATGGGTGCTTTTGATGTCCACTCATTGTCTTCAGGTTTATAGCAGAGGGTGGTGTTCTTGTAGCCAAAACCTCCAGACACGTAGAGATGACCCTTGTAATCACAAGCTGAGAAAGGGAAAATGGCTTTAAAAGATTTTCATTAAAAATGGATTGAGAGGCTGTCACCTCTGAAAGATTAATTCATAGTATTATATAAGTGTGTGTGTGTGTGTGTGTGTGTGTGTGTGAATTTGTTTCATATACACATGCAGACATGATTTGTAGTCAACTATATATATATATAGACCTGCATNATCACAAAATTACATATCAATGCCACTGCAATTAGGTGTATAAAAGAACACTATATTTTTAGTATTGTTTTACCAAGTTTTAAGGGGTTAAGACTTTGTATCATGTAGAAAAAGACATTAAATTATTTGGCTAAAAAACTACATTTTTTACAATTTATTAAAAAGATTACCTTTTTGTCTGCACATTTGGGACTGTGTAGAAATAAATCTAGGTCACAAAATTAAATCAAAAGATCAATATTTATGATTTTAATGAGATATTTTCAAATATATTGGAATATGCAGACCTAATTTTTGGGTGGAGCAAATTTCAACTGTTGCCTTTTCTAAAGTGTGTCATGATCTCTCATATTTGTTTTAATTTAAGATTGAAGTATTAATCTGATGAGGTCGTGAAATTTGAATAAATTTTCTGAAGCAAACCAGAACCCTTAAAACATGGACCTATATTAAATTAAGAAAATTATTTCCCGAAGGACGAACTTGTTTAATCCAATAGATATAAAAAAAAACTTCTCTCCATATAATAAAATGTAGGGCAGATTTTCAAAAAGGCAAGATCGTATATTCATAAAAATTATATTTATAAATGTGGGCTGTTGGAAAATCCTGCGGATGTATTTTTTAAATTCTCAACTTCAGTTATTTACAAAATACTGGGCATATTAACAAACCTTTTAAAACATTCGATTTAAGACATCTTCTGTTACTGTAGAAATCATCTATCCCAAACACAATGATTACAGATCATTTTTAACAGATTTAATTTGAAAGTGCACAGACAATAATCATATCTTCATAACTTTACCCCTAACCATCTACTATTACTAATATTTTTATCATTATTTCATATCGAAATAAAAAACAAGTAATTACAAACGTTTTTATTCAATTTTAAAACAAAAGATGCATGGGTGTGCGTAGGGTTCCAGAACGTGAATGACCGGCTTGGTTGCTAGCAGGCGAGTGTCGTGCAGTTCTCAGCATCTCAGTGGACTTCTGAAATGAGAAGGTAATTTTAGCAATATCTGACGAAACGGGGAGACTCGGAAAATACGACCAATGCATTTTACATGTAAGAGAAGAGGATACTTGAAATGATGTGGGTGTTTACTGACTTGTCCAAAGTTCAGGCTCAGATAGCACCCCAAAAAAGGAATCGATAACTATGTTGCCTAACGCCAAAATTAAGACCTTAAGTTAGTAATAAAGATATTTCAGGTGTTTTGCTTTGAAAAAATAAATATTGAAAACACTTCTCTAATTTGTGGAGATCATCACAAGGGGCGTTTATTTATTTTACCTACTATGTTATGTTGTAATATCTAAAGTCGCTTTGCACCACGCGTTTGGGAGCCATATTTCGCTTTAGTTTAAACCATTTCCAGTATTTCAACACTGCTTACAAACATTTTACAGGTACATGTATAATAAAATAAACAAACCTACAAAAACTGATTTTATATTTTAAACCATCGTGATTGTCGTAAAAGGAGACGTTTGAATTCTTGATAAACTTTGACTATAAAATTGATGTACACGTTCATGGGGCACGCTTGTCTAAGAATCAAAAGCTCAGAACAGTGACAAGTACGGTATTATCATCTAAATCATTCTATGATCTTTTTAGTAGTATGCCCATTTACTAATTTGCTTAATGATACTTTGAGTGACATAACAGAAACGGCAGGCAAAATATAACAGTATAACAAATATACTAGTAAATACTTTTCGTAAATTTTCTTGCATTCTTCTACTCTTTCTATCAACTGACATAGGTTACTGATGAAAAAGTGATACTTACGAAACATGCATTTGCTTCTACGCCTCATAAAAGCTCGATCTTGCAACTGCACCACACGTTGAACAACATTGCGTCTTCACCCAGCTGTGTCTTACTGCCTAGTGAGCATTCGGAAAAACAGATCGCACTACCGTGAGCAAGTTATTGTTATGCAAATTACAGACAGGTACGGCTCATTTTAGTCGAGGGACTGTGGATGAAACTGTTCACGAATGGTCACGGTCAAATGCATGTACAGTGGCGAACTATTACCCTCAAACATTAAAGAAGAAATGTCATACATATAAATATATGAAACCCCATATGCTTGTGCTAATTCATAATTTTTACCTGGAGAACCACCATTGGTGTGATTTTTTTCAGAAATCGAAGGGGTCATGACCATCTGACACCCCCCTAAAACCACCACTGTACCATTATCTAGGGTTCATTAGTTCCGGGAAGGATTAAATTGACATCAATCAATACTGTAAGTAATGGATCGGCACTTGATGAGGTTATGGGTAAAAAAGAAAATCCACAGGCGTCATCCACAGATTAGTACGCGTGAAGATCAAATACATGTACATGTGCTTCCACGCACAAATCATAGTAGGCGTTTAATTTACCAATATTGCACATTTGTGCCTAGCCTGCGACTAAAACTACATTGCGAAGCTAGCAAATATACAGACACTAAAGAAAAAATCCATTCCCATTGCTATAAGTTTTATTGGAACTTTCAGACTATTTACGTGAACGTCGCTAAAATACACTCAGAAATTGATACCTTTCATAAAAATCAACCGATCATGCTGAGTTTCGACCTGAGCCTGCCATTTTATCAAATAATAAGAAGAATAGCTAATAGCAGTTTTGAAGTTAAACATAAATACGGTTTGACACTTGTAAGTTGAACAACAGGCGTATCGGACTTAAACGACGCTGCCAAACATACAGACACCAAACAGCAAAATGTATTGCAAAAATATAAACAAACATTATTTTTGGAAAATAAACCGGTGTGACGGAACTGAGAGTCCGGTGTGATACAGAGTCCCGGACTGACAGATTCAGAAACCAGGGGTCCTGCTTTGAAATACAGGGTACCTCCGGACCCTGAATATTCTTAATATAGAGTGTCCTCCGGACTCTCTGTTATTCCGGACCCTACATTCGCGACCAGCAGACGCCCCTGCATTTTTAGGGCAGCTGAAGTGTGATAGCTGTGGAAACGGGCACAAAGTATGAGATTCAGTGAGGCTCATGTGGCTCAACTGATGCAACGTCCAAATCGAAATTAACTGGCACTCTTTTCACCGCAGTATATGTCAGCAACAAGTCTTTCTATTGGTATGCTGCCGATTGTTTCCTGGAAGAAGAGTTTTTCCACAAGCCTACCACTCACTACTCGCAGGCAGGGCAGAATAAGCAACAGTTTGCCAAATCTTGTCGGCATGAGTGGGTGTCTTTGCCGGCAGTATTCCCCAAGAAGAACTTGTGCCTGGTCCTGTAATCTTTCAATTTGATGCACATTGCTGATGTCGACCGTTTCTATAGAAAATAAAACCCTTTATCAGTTTAAAAATGAAGAATCTTTTTGTTTTTAATTATTTTTAAACAACTAAATCATCGACCAGAGGGTTCCAGATTTTTGTATTTTGTACCTTGGTAATTTATGAAAGATAATTATTAAAGAAAACGAAAAAAGGAAAAGGAATAATTTAGCGTTTTTCATTTTCTCTAAACGTATTTACTCTTTTCGTATGCTTTTACCAGTACCTGCAAAGGTAACTTGGCATAAACGTTCATTTCTTACCAGTTCTGAATAGCAATATGGCTTTCAGACAAGCGTACTCCGTTGTATCCAATTCCTGCTGCTTTAGACGCTCTACAATGTCCCGAATATAGCGTATTTCAGACAGAATGACTGCCATTTTGTCTCCCGATACCTCTTCTGGCGTGAGTTTGGCACATTCTAGGATGCAATGGACCTCTAATGGAATATTCCATTGTGCCAGATTTAAGATGAACAGATCCTTCCAAGTGTCTCCCAAGAGGACTAGCTGGAAAACGACGCAGACATCATTTATAACTAGTTTTAACGGCTCTTGAAAATCATCAAATGATCAGAAGCATGATAAAATAACTTGACGTAAATGTAAAAATATAACACAGCCTTTGGGTTCTAAGATAATGTTCAGGTTTACAGAAGGAGGAAGGTCTTGATTTTAAGACCAAAATTTTGTTCTGCTTTGACCCCAGATATACCAATACAAATTATACAAAGTAAAGCTTAAGATACGCTCTACCAGATGCTTTCTACAGTTGTTACAAAACTAAACGAACTGATAGCAGCTGAATAGTTTACATTAGCACTATAATTGCCAAACTATGCAACGGCTTTTAGTTTTACCTGATCTTTCTTCGAAAGCGTCCCAAATGCAGGTAGCTGCCTAATCCAGTTGACGATAGAGAACAGGAGGCGCGCGGTAATTTCTTGGAGTGATTCCCGGGCATATAACTGTGAGGGAACCCTGAAGGCCGATGGGTACTCCCCGTTCAATCCGCGGATGAGATCCAGCCGCAAAGCCTGGTTGTGCAGGGCCGGAGTCATCATTGGGCATTCTTGGGTCTGTTCAGCCGTCATAAGACCTTGTAGGAAAGTTGGCACTTCGCTGTTTGTAAGCGACAGTGTCTTCGCTGGGGGCTTGGCAACAACCCTCAAGTCCATGGGAATGTCGTGCATTTGTAAGGAGCTGCTGCTGGGGGGAGTCAAATTTGCGACATCCACGTAGACTGGGTAACTAGCGGTCTTCTCCTTTGGTTTTCGTGGTCCTCGCTCATGTTGTACAGCTAGAGGAGAAACGAAGTTCAAAATGTGGATGTTATTGTTTACCCTTTAAGAAAAGCTTTTAAAAACATATAACATTCTGATGTAGATCTTTCTCTGCGGATTTCAAATATTCTTTTTTTTTTTGTTTCGAAATAAAATGGAACTGAACACGGAAATGCTAGATTTTTTAAAAGTGCAGATTGCTTACTCACCATCTTTATTCATATCTGCTTCGAAGCACTTCCTAAGCCGACATGCCCTGCACTGGTTCCTGTGCGTCTTGTCTATTGGGCACTTGCCATTCGTCTCTCCCTGCGCCTTACAAGTGTACATACGATTCCTGTGAATACTGCGCTTGAAGAACCCGGAACAACCTAAAACAGTAAAAATATTTCGGAACTGAAACTGGTCTGGATTGATAAGGATTGAAAAATCTTTGTGTTTGGAATAACTCCAAGCAATTTCAACCTTTTTTTTTGTCTTTTGTTATTGGAAAATAATTGATGTAGAAAGGAGTGTTTACCATCACATGTGTATATTCCATAATGTTTCCCAGAACTTCTATCGCCGCACACTTTGCAAGGAATGTCCAGAAGGCGCTCGCCTGGAAATCAATATAGAACATTTATTATGTTGTTCTGTTGATAAAATTGGTAGTGATTAATCTCTTTTCCTTGAAATTTCATTTATTTTCAATAAACAATGCAATCTTTATGATATGGGGACATCTGTTCTAGAATTATCACTACTGGAAACTTTCCACTTCAGGCAAACCATCTTCACTTAATTGAAAGACGTTTGTGAGGATGCAGGATCAAAGTCGCTGGGAAACTAATATAAATAATCATTCTATCACTATCGCTTTAAGGCAAGCTGGCTACTGTATGACTTATGATTTATGTTAGGAATGCAAAACGTATGGGAATCATTCTGAAATATTAATTCTAAAAATATACTTTTCAAGAATTGAAAATGTTATTCTTATAATTAATTCTGTCAATATTTGAGAGACAACGTACATTGTGTATGCAACAGTTCCCTTTGTCTTTGTCGAAGTATATATATAATAAACCTATAACGTTAATGTATGTTGCTGTTTGAAGTTAAATATCACAAGAGTACCAACCAACCGCCACTAAAATCGTTCTTTTGGCATATACTTTTTATCACCCAACGCTACAACATATTTTTGAATAAATATATTATATAAATACATGTGCATTACCTGAGCGCCTGTTCTCCGCCTCCATGATAATGCTCGCAGAAACTTGATTTCTAGAAGTAACACAAATATTCTCTTGTACAGTAATACCCGAAACCATTTAAACAATAATTTGCAAAAAATTATTTTTGGAAAACGCACCTTTCACACACGTTCACATATATTTATATTTGTTATTCTGATCAATGTCCCAGACCTCTTTACGTGTTTGTCTTGTACAATCATTTTCCTGATCGGTAGATTACAAATTTCTTGTTCCTTCATTCGTAAACTCTGATAAGTCACCGAGTGCAACAGAAGTCACTTGGCAAGAGTTTCACGTTCTCTGGCCACTTTCTTCCCGCCCTCCTAACCCTCGAGGTCAGGTTCCAATGAATTTTTAATGCAGCACGTGGCGAGTGCCTTTCTAAGTGTGTTGTTGTGATATGATAGTACATTGACAGAGGACCGATAAATCAATAGGAGTTTACCCGGCGACTTGGGTCACTGAGTTGGCAAACTGACTTTTGGGGTACAGGCTTATTGAATTTTGATACTCGCACTTACGATTGTCAGGTAGCGCACTCGATTATGTACATGCTAATTGCTTATGCTTATTTGATTAAATGTTTTATCAATTAACTTGAGAGAAAACTCACGAAATATCTCCGAAATATTGCTACGACGTGTAATCGATTGCCAAAGAAGAGAAAAATAATATGAAGAAAATGAGGAAATAAAATTATAAAAAGTATGTGGATGAAACATAACCAAAGCGCATCTTGCTGAGAATTTTTCACCTATGGAATAATTGAAAACAAAATCAGGAAAGGCAGATTTATGACGTCTTTACACAGCGCGGGTATTATCTTGCATTAGCGGCTATTACTAACGTAATGATATATAAAAACAATTTTCGTTCTTAAATAATTGCTAATTGTACGATATCTAAACTCTTGTCATTGCGCAACAGTAAGTTCGGCAGTCACAATGTCTCTCGTTTCATTGAAGGGTTTTATTTTCCGTCGGGAACAAAACCCTGCTTCGTCCTGTTACGTAAATAGCGCGGTAATATTGCTTTCGTCAGCTGTTGAGAAAGTAAGAAGATTTGTGCACGCCTAATTCAACTGGCACGTACTTCATAAGAAGCATTTGTTCGGTTTCTCGCAGTAGTCAAATTCCTTGCCTTTGGGCAGGATCATCAGAATTAACAAATCGATCAGAGTTTGTCAATTGATTTACACAATAAGCTATGAGGCTTATCATTAGCGAACTACTTAATGGTCAAGACAAAAAGACAAGAAATATTTTAAACAAAACGTCTGTTTATTCAATTCTCAAATGACAATGTAGACGTTTACATTGCTGACTATAGGGAGAGACTTACGTCTGCTTAGGCTGAGCCCCTAGAGCAAAAGTCGAAAATATATTGTTTATAAAAGATACATGTATTCAGATCAAATAGCAAAATAATTCAAAAAGAACAAAATGTGACTTCTAGCTAGAATCACAATATACGGCAAGTTAGGTGTTTCACAATTTGTGTTTTAAATTGACTCATTTCCTGATTTTTATACATGGGGTTGGACTAGGGTAATTGTATTCTTATAATAATTACCTTGCCTTCTGTATTTACTTTCACTTATCTGTTTTTTATTTTTTTTTTTTTATTTTTTTTATTTATTTTTTTTTTAAACGAGTAGATCCCGACACCTTTAATATTCCATACGCATTGAAAAGACTTACAAAAGAAAAGGCTCCTTTTCTCCAGATAAATGTGTTCGTTAAACGCACCTGCAGATTCGATTTGCAAACGTCAAACACAAACTTACGGAGTTTTGAATTTATGCACTCCAGGATACGTTTATGAAAATATAACTGATTTATGCTGGTAACTGCGATACACGTACATTGCATCAAGTAGTTAAATCCAATGCATTTATATACGTGTAAAATCAAAAGAAATTAAGACATAGTGTACATTACAAACTCGTATAGCAATAACTCTTCTCTATACATTTTTCATACTCTCATTCTTAGAGTGAAGAAATCCAAACTCCATTACAGACTTCCTGGTAAAGGGTTGTTGGGGCAAGCTGGGTACATAAGTAAACTGAAAGGTTTAATAGATAGAAAGTAGATTCTTCTTCTTTTTTAGTTTTCCGTTTCTTTTCTTTTTCAGTTTTTGAAAAAAGTGTATAGAAACAAAGAAATATGAAAAAGCAAAGGTAAGCAGATCCTCCGGCAAATCTCATACCGTTGTCATTTTGCACCGTGTACCATGTTAACTTTGTCAAGTGAATTATTAGACCGTTTATCTAGTCGCCGTTGACTTTCCTGACTGTTCACGTCAACCTCCTAATAAGCATTGTGTGAAACCATTTGAACATGAGTCTCGTGAAAGGGCCATGAAAAGTCTGATTAATTCGTTTCCTGGTGTCAAAACAGCCATAAAAAAGTCGAAGGAAGCAATTCTATGGGGACAAAAATAGATNAAGCAGATCCTCCGGCAAATCTCATACCGTTGTCATTTTGCACCGTGTACCATGTTAACTTTGTCAAGTGAATTATTAGACCGTTTATCTAGTCGCCGTTGACTTTCCTGACTGTTCACGTCAACCTCCTAATAAGCATTGTGTGAAACCATTTGAACATGAGTCTCGTGAAAGGGCCATGAAAAGTCTGATTAATTCGTTTCCTGGTGTCAAAACAGCCATAAAAAAGTCGAAGGAAGCAATTCTATGGGGACAAAAATAGATAAGCTTTACACGCGCCAACTAGTTTGTGCTCCTCAGAGCGACGGGAAGTGGTATGTTGAACCTACGTTTGTTCAACAGTCATGCGTCTTGAAAGCTATCGTTAAGCGATAAAACGTGAGAATGATCAAATGAATTAGAAAGTAAACACAATTAATATGCTTTGAAATGTCAAAGATTATTGTCAATTAATCGCCCGTAAGGATACGCCACTCGAGATAAACCAGAAGACAATGTCAGTTTCTCGTCTCTTTTCTTAATCAAAGGAAAACGTGGTCATACAACATTAGATCCGCAGAGAGATAAAAGCTTTACTTTTTTTGCCATTTCTATGAACAACGCAAAAAGTTAATAACATCCAAAAGCATTGTCTTTTTAACAGTCAAACCACTGTTATTCAACAACCACTGTTTCCACCAGGCACATTTGACGAAAATTACTCCAGGGAACTTTTAGAGCGGTGTAGGCTGATCGGTAAGACGAAAATTATTGAATAAATTTACACAACTTTACACGGCGTGCATAGCCTACTGTTTGCCATTCCATCACGCACAAAAATCAAAGCTTGCAAAGGCTTTGTCGCTGACTTGAGCCCGGTGGGCTGTGACCAGCGATTGTTGAGTAAAGTTTATCAGATATTTCTTGCGTAGCCGTAAGGAAGGCTTTTTAGAAGGAGGGGAGAGATGCTGCTTAAAATGTGAAGGAAAGGGAAAAATCGAACTGAATGTTAGGTTTTGCCGTAAGATTTGTTAGTTATTGAAATATTATATTTTTGCAAACTTTCGATTGTTTTTTTTTTATGTTACACTTATTCAAAAAGTTCTATTTTGAAATGTTCATGTTGATATAGTCTTAAGACATTTGTCTAAAGCAGTACGATAATTTAACAGACAAGAAAGATCACTCCGCTGAAACTGAAAGCTTTAAAAAAAAAAAGTCAAAACTGCACCCATTTCGTAATTTTCATGTAACAAACCTAGATATTACACGGCTGTCCAATTTTAGATGCTATAAGCTTATGAAACACAACTGGTTTCTTTATTCCATCGGTCGAAAACTGAAAAAAGACTGAATAACTGTGTGTGTTACGTGACTTTGCGTATGCCGCGTGGATTTGCGTTATCAGATATTACATACAGACATGATGGTGCAGTCGGTTCGAACATTTTCCAAAATATCAATTTTCAGCATCGCTTTTGTCCAATGTTTGTGCAAAAAGTAAAACCAAAGAAATACATCAATAAATCCATCCAAAATCACCCCAATTAAATTTTATGTTGGCTTAAAGACTTGGCGCGCATCCCTATCGCAATCTATCAATCGAACAGGAATTTTTTGTTAAACCAAAAACATTAAAATCGACTCTCAGATTAAGCAATTAGTTTTTTAGATTTGGACAGTAGCAATGATATTTTACTTCTATTGTATCAATAACTGTCAACAAAAAACAATCATAAAAATATGAAAAAAAAATGAAACTACAGCTATAGATTTATTATTATATTACACATTTAACATTTCAATAAACTATGAAAACATCACAGGCCGCTCTTACAAAAGATTTTACCATATGATTAACTATTGCACATAAGTCGTGAAATTAAATGAATTACAGAATGATACAATTATGAACTTACATCTTTCCTTACCGCGTTTTATCTTCTGCTGGCTTTAACTGCGTCTGGAAAACAGTCTTGCTCGGCAAAGATCGCGCCAAAAAGCCACGTGTCCGCCGTTGTTCCACCGAGTTATCCTTTTATACTATTTGTCATGAACACTTGACGTTTGAAAGGTTGGGAAATCACACAGGTGGGAAAACAAATAGATTCTTGCTTTTAACGCTTTGCTTGTAATCCCATTGATTAGAAAGAAGAATCAATATGAGGGCAGCGAGGAAGCTACTTAGGAACCGTTCTTGAAGAGACGTTCTCTTAATGACTTCAAAATATTAATCCAAAAGTACTTAAATCTGTCGTTTTCCCACAATTCGCGGAAACCAGTGGACTTACTTAGCCTATACTCAATTACGTAGGATTTTTGCATTTTCTCCTGCCCAAATGCTAATATGCCGATTTTTTCCTCTGTCAGCAATTTACTGTTGCTAAGAAACATTTAAACAACGGACAAACTGTTGAAAAATGTCCCTAGACTAAATTAAAGCCTAATCATTTGTTTCAATAATAACTTTTGACTTGTGAAAAATGAATAAGCCTATTTACAATTATGTGGACATGTTGCCATCCATCCATCTGGCAGTTACATATATGAAATTCTTATTTTCTGCTAAAAGGATTTAAAATAACGCTGGAACTTTGTGTAAATAGCAACTAGCAACGGTAAATATTAGAATGCGATAATATTCTCTAGATGTAACACACTATCAAAACTGTACATATTGTAATATATAATGATATCGCACAGTGATAAATCATGTCAATGCGTGTCAGATTTACGTTAGGTCGCGCAAAGAAAACCCAAGTCCACATAATGACCAGTTAAACGATTTATTCGCCGACGCTCGGTATCTACACATTCTAAGTGAAGTCTCCAACTCCTAGCTCTACGAAGCTACGTCCGTCTTCGTGCTCCCTCTCTCCTCCCCGTTCTCCTCGTCTCCGTCTCTCCCAATCCCCTCTCCTTCTCGTCTCCTCGGATATCTATTCCTATCTGTAATTGGTTGCAAAGAGGGAAATCGAGCCCTCTTTTACAAAACATTTCACTTGAGAAAGCGTCCCCATCCATCAGTACACAGGAAGCATGTGCTCCTCCCGGTTGCTTTTATGGGTTTTTTTTCTTTTTTTTTTTTTTGTTTTTTTTTGTCTAATTTTTTGTCTAATTGTTTTTTTTTCTGAAAGAATCAGAGATGAGAGATCATTCTGATGGAATTAATTTATAACTGCTTTCAAATGACCAATTCGTCCCCATAATGCCAAATTAAAACAAATAAAATAACAAAAACAATAAAATAATTTATTACTGAGTTCAAATTCACACACACATAAAAATAGTTCCTAGCATAATTATTTAAGAGATGTGCTTAAAATATTTTAAGGAAAGCATTATCTGACTAACAACAATTTCTACATGCTTCATTTTGTTCTTTTTCATTCCTTAGTACAGGTATTTTAACAATGAATTTAGACCAAGTTTTTAAAAAATAATAAATTGTGTGTCCCTTAAGGTCAAATCACATTTCATAATCTTTGTTACCAGTTCATTTACCATTAACTTTAAACATCAGTAAGTCCACTGTAAAATATATGGGCTAAAGAAAATGCATTTTAACAAGCATTACTTAGTACTGAAATAAACTTTGTGATTGAATATCACTACATAATCTAAAGGGGAAGGGATGTCACTTTCTGAGGCCAAAAAAATAACTAAAATGTTAATTTGCAGGTGTTATCAAACATATTTCATCACTCTAGGGGTTTGGTATAAATTTTGGTAATTTTCTTTTCTTTTCAAGTCTACATTATGGCCTATTATAAAGTCCATTACAGCAGTGTGTTAAATACCAGTAATATCAATACCTGATTGATATCCCTGATTAATCTCTAGAATGGTCAAAATGCACAGAAAATTATGTCATCCCTTTAACTTATCCACATCTGTGCCTTCAATTATTTTTGCCACTTGTTATTGGTCAAGTTATTTACTTGCTTAAAATTTTCTCTGAATATAAACATTAAAAAATGACTTACACCCCATTTCCATAGATTAGATTGACCTACTTTAGATCGACCTAACTCCCTGGGGGTTCACGCTAAATAGCTGTCAGCCGGGCGGACACGAAAGTTAATTACCCTCTTACAGCTTGTAGTAGGCGGGACGGACATTTAAGTCGGATTATCTGAAAGTAATCTAGTGAGACTCCCCAAGGGGATAGATCGATCTAAAATCTATGGGAATAGAGCCTTAATGTCTCCATAACTTTCTTCAATCCACACATTTTAACCATAAACATTTTGGTCACTTGCACTGCTATTACCTTTAAGTCATAACTGATATCACAGAAAAGTTTCACTGAAATACATCCAAAGTCTACCCAAAGCAGTCCCTTATTGTAAGATGCTGCCAGTCAAGCATGTCTAGGATCTTAACTAGTTAAAGACCAAGCTCTGGAGTTGTGATGGGTGTTTTTCCTCCCACATCCATTTAGTAGCCTCAACCTATTGGATGTGACCTGTACACAACTGCTTTGCACTAAGCACTGATGCCATGTCTTCCTCAGCTACATGTACATCCATCTGGAGCAGCAGCAGTGTTTTCTTTCCAAGGACCAGACTTGTCAGAGAATATACTGGGTACACTTTCACCTCCACATAAGACCTCTAATTTTAAGTGGTGGAGGATACTTTGATCTGTAAAAATGTAATTATCTGCAATATTTGTGTGTTATCTTTTGCTATAAAAAGAGAGAATTTTTATATTAAATTTATTTACAGACATGAATATATATATACAATTCCAATGCTGATTTTTAAAATTTTACTCAATTTTTAAACTTGTAGCTTGTCTTTGTAAAGCAACGAGAAGCCTTATTTATCAGTGACAAACCTGTCTTCCACAGTAGGTAAGCTGTCTAGGCAGAGGTAATCTAGCACTAGTTGTACTAAGATCTGTATCTGGTCTGGTGTAATGATTTCATGCCATTGCTTCAGAAAGAAATGGTGCAGCACTTCAGGGAGGCGAGCTAAGATGCGAGGGAACGAGGCATGATTGCGGTTCTGTTCTATGATGTTCAGGAACCAGTAGGAAAAAGCTGGCCACTGGGAGGAAGACTGTAATAATGAAGATTCAATATACAACCCAACAATGAATTGAATAGTTTTTTCTATTTCTATCCTTGCATGCACACACAAGCACACACGCAGATATTGTTACATATATATATATATATATATATATATATATATATATATATATATATATATACATATATATAAAAGCCCTTCAGAAATATGCACATGGTTTTCAATAAAAAAGATACTTGGTGTACTTACCAATATTTTAGAAAAGTACTTGTTGTCTCCAGCATCTCCAAAGAAAATGTTGACTGAGATTGATGTGTCCAAAGATGTCACTTGGTGCCACCAAAAGGCTGGTATGAACAACCTGTAAAAATGACGACAAGCAAATGAAATCTTTTCAACTTTTGTTCTGTTTAAACTCTATCAACTACAGAGAAAAATCTTCAGAATGTAAAACATTGCCAGACATATTAAGGGAGTGTTAATCAATTTCTTTTAAATTATTCTTAAATCACAGTTTTCCTTAAAAAAAAAAAAAGAAAAGAAAAAAGAAAAAAATTCTATTGCAACTGCTTTATTGTTAAATGAGAAATCAAATGTAATTAAGCTACTCATAAAACCCCCAATTCACTTACATATCCCCAGGGTCAAGGACACAATGATAACATGTGGCATTCCTGAACTCTGGGAACCTTTCTAAAGCAGGGTTATCACAGTTGACTTGTGCCTGTATGGTTTTCCCCTTGGATCCCTTAGGGTTGGGGTACATTGGTCTAAGATCACAGCCAAATAAACGCACTTGTTTTCTCCCTTGTATCATAACCAGGAAATTGTCATCAGGATCTATATGGCAGAACTCTGAAATGTGAAGGTTCACTTCATCTAAATCTAATCTAACAACCTTTTGAAATGATATTTTGTTGATAAGTTTCAGGTTAAACATAGTCATAATTGCACGACTTCTTTTTATCCACCTACCGGTAAGATCATACACAACTTACAGCAAATTTGATTTTTATTTAACTTATACTTGTTACTTTTTTCCCAAAATGTCCTTTAAATGAGAGAGAGGGAGAGAGAGAGAGATGTTAATCTAAGACCTTCACAAAAATACATGTACCCATGCATCTCATACAATAAATACCTACGTACCATAGTGTCCTTTCAGTGCTACCCACATATAGGGGCCAAGGTGAAGTTTTCCCACATAATCTGGCAATGGAACATCAGCCTTAAAGAATGGATGTGCATATTAACTCCAATTGCTATATAATATAACATGACATGACATGACATGACATGACATATAAAGCGATAACACTGATAGGCAATTTCAAAAAATACAGAAATAAATTGATTGAACATGTCAAAAAGGATGGGCGATGGGTTATACATAAAATTATATTACGTACATAAAGAATGTGTAATGGATATTAATGTTTTTATTTTGTATATATGTCAAAGGACCGGACCAAATCTAGTCCTATGTATAAAAAGCCCAGACCCCATGTTAATTACGCCCTGGCTGGGCCCAATCTTTGTGGTGTCTTTGCATTGTTAACAGCATAATGGGCAAGTTTTGGTCCGGGCCTTTAACATATACACGTACCAGTACCTCAATCTGTGGAAAAGTCTGCTTGAGATTCTGCACTGCCATATAGGAGCTTCGTGCTCTTGCATTTTCTGCTTTTAGATCACTGACATAATCATTAAAGGTTGTTTTCCTTATAACATAATTCCTGCCAGTCTGTAAAAAATTTAAGATGATCTCATAAATTATTCCAACACTTAAAGTGTTAAACAACCATTAAGATAATGTAGATCTATGCAATCTTCTGATGCAATCTATTTTTAAAATCCTTACATGAATAATCTTAAATTGCATGGTTTAATTGTAACTTGTCAAACCCAACAGCTGTGTGCACACATGCATGCACAAACATGCACACACACACACACATACATACCCTGTAAGCATCCTCATTAGTTTGTCCTCTGACAATTATTTCATTATCACCAACTTTCTCACAAAGTGAGTCTAATGTCCACTTTCTAGCCAGCCAATGATCAGTGGCTTCCTCAATTATCACAGGAACACCTTGAAAATGAAACCATAAGCTTTAAATGATATTTTTGGCTCCCAATAAGTCAGAAATCTGTCGGAAAAATCACATCCCTGTGTTTTGGATTTATTTGCCATGCCAAAATAGGCATATCTGCCTTAATAGGCACTAGTATGCCTGGGCATTTACAAGAATGAAAAGCAGAACATTTTCAATTTGTATTTCTAAACATATTAAAAAACTGTTAATGAATTTAGAAATAACCATCACTGAGTAGTTGAAAAATGATCCACTTTTCTTAAAGTGCTGCTCAATTCGTTGAATTGAGAAATAAAAAAAAGCAGTGTTTAATTAAGCTTTAAATTATTGCCTTTGTCTTCATGGAAATGTGAGATTTAACAATTAACGCCATCCCTTGGGCGATTCTAGGAACCACTAAAGAAGTTAATTGCGCTGCAATAATTGTTTTTTCTTTTAGATTTTATTTGCAATAAAAATCCAGGAACGCATATGATTAACACATGTATCTGGAACAGTATAAAGAACAAATTAATGGGCAATTCCAATGGTAGCAAACATTTTCAACTCTTACTAACATTTGATGCCCATTTAAAAACAAAAACCCTGCCTTTTTTTAAGGTATGCCACCTTCACCTGCTCAAAACGTCTATATGCAGTAAAGACGAAGTACGGAGTACGTGACGGACTGCATGTCATGATGATACTCTTACTGCATGTATAAATTATACCATTACCATTAAATAATGAACGGTAGTACTAGTAGATGTTGCGAAATACTTATAAAAAGAATGTGAATGAATGTGTCAATATTTACTAAGTTGTGCTTAAATAAATAATTGAAGTGAATCGCAGTAAGCGCGAGAAAGCATCGCTTAGAACGATTGTACATAGACACTACTTAATTGGCAAGGCAGGTGAAATGCATTCTAGCAGACGACGGGGAAATATTTAGTAGTAGCAGTTTGGGTTTCAGGGGCTCTCTAACGATCATGCCTCGTTAAGAATAACCAAGATACTGCTTCGTCATCCGTCATTGAATATACGACAAAACAAACCTTTACTGAGATATTTGTCCTCAAATTCTGCTTTTGACACATTTTTTGTTCTCTCGATGTGCACGTTGTTACTGCAACAAGGCAGCGCCATTTCTGCAAAAATTGCTACGTCATCAAAACTGGTTAAATATATTTAAAGCATGAAAATTGCCTTTTTTACACGTTATTCAAATATATGTTAGGTGCAAATACACATGCTTTGTCTTGATATTTTGGTGAATATTCAGAATATTCAGAAAATGAAACAGAACTAGCTTTTAACTTGTGTCCACAAATGTGATGACGAAGGGCACAACCGGCTATCAACATGGCGGATGAGGACCACGATGTTGAGAAGTAAGTGGCTTTTAATAAAAAAATTAAAACCGTTTGGCTTTGATTATAACTTAAAAAACATGCATTGTGTGCGTGATATAATTCTGACCATTTTGATTATATGTGTATTCTGCTCAGAATTTTAAACGGACATGGACAATACCGTATTCCCGTTGTCGCACAAGACTACCAGTACCTCAGACTCAACTGTCGCGTTGATAAGTTAATAAACCTGGTAAATAAACCTTAAAAAACACACAAAACGACTTACGACTACTTGTCTACCATAGCGTGCGCCCACACACACAGTGTCACACACACACACACACACACACAAAGATAAAAAGCGGTTCAGTATTTTAAGGATGTAGAGAGGGGGTGGAAACGTGGTTATCATCTGAACGGACCAAGATATACCAACATTTTCCAGATCAATAAAAAGCCTATTTCAACAGCTTTTCATTGCATATCATTATTTGATTGCGTAATAGATCAAAATCAAACCAAATTTGAATTATTATAACCTTTTTGTATTTTATTCCTTATGCACCCATCTGATTGTTTTCGTAAATAAACATTTTTCAGTTTTGACGATGATGACCTGGACGAGGTAGAAGATGAGCCTCTTGATGAAGTAGAAAATGCTGATGTAAGAAATATTTGCCTTCCCTTACTAACAGAAAGTAAAAGGTTTAATTCTAGCTGAGAAAGAAAGTGAAATTTTGAAAAAAAAAATTATTATTATTATTATTATTATTATTATTATTATTATTGGCTACTGATATGTTTTTAAAATGTGATTGGTCTAACACAGAACTGAACTTTGGTACTTCACAATATCTTGCTGCCAGAAAAATTGTTATAGATTGTTCACCTGGAGATTCTTGTGTCAGAACTGTTTGGCGTAGAATGTGGATTATCTTTTTGCAAGGTCATCTTCATATGTAATGTACAGGTCTTTTTTATTTTGCATATTTGCCCCTTACTAAAAGAAAATCAGAAATCTACATGAAACAGCAACTGAAATTGACATTATTTAAAATCAAAATTTATCATGATTAGTGCTGGCCAAAAATTTTCAAAAACGATGATTTCAAATTTTATGAAATTTTTCCACTTTAATGAAAAAAAAAAGAAATTTAGAAATGATTTAAAGAAAGGTAAAAAATTTCTAGGATGAAGGCGAGCAGGTGGATGTGTTACCAGCTTCAGATGGAGGACAGAAGGTAGAACCCAAGGAGAGAGTGACAACACCCTATATGACAAAGTATGAAAGAGCGAGAGTTTTAGGCACCAGGGCACTACAGATAGCGTAAGTAGTTTTTAAGTTATTGTAATCTTTTGCTTCTTACTTAGGCAAGCAAATCTATAAAATTTTATTTAAAAATGGGCTGTACGGTAATTCTTCCTTAGAGATTTGGACAAAAAAATACTGTTAATTGGTTCAGTGTTCTAAACTTAGTGAAGATGTCCCTTAAATCAAAGTCTGTTCCTTTTCATCAGCATGTGTGCCCCTGTAATGGTAGAACTGGAGGGAGAAACTGATCCTTTACACATTGCCATGAAGGAACTGAAGTAAGTCATACTTGGCATATTGAGAGTTAATATTGTTAAGAACTGAAAAGAGATTTTTATGTAAAATTTTCTTAGAGCTCGTATACAAGGAAATAGACACAGTGTATTTGGATGTGTGGTACTTCAGTAATATCTGGAAAAGGTATGTTTATGTTACTGTTTGTACATTCTGACTACAAAACCATGTAAAAATTTTTATCATGACACCACGTTGTAATGCAAACAAATATGTATAGTATAAGCAATGAACATTCTGAATTTCAGAGCACGAAAAATTCCAATTATTATTAGGCGATATTTACCAGATGGAAACTTTGAGGACTGGAGCATCGATGAACTTATTATTAATGATGTATGACACAAGTCAATCCGTTGGTGGAGAATGTATATACTGATCATTGGAGTACAAACCTCTCACAGTTGACAGGCCATAGGTTACTATATATATATATATATATATATATATATATATATATATATAACCAAGTGGTCATCTTGGGATGGTTGAGTTATCCCTGAACTGCTCAGTGGCCAATTGGGGAGTTAGGGCTATTGGACATATTACCACTTTGATCCTTGGTAGAGTGGTAACCTATATAGAAACAAATTGTACATTTTTGTGTCATTGCAATAAGCCCTTTATTTACAATGAAAGTTGGATACATGTTTGTAATGTGAAAGAAAGACCTATTGTATTTTAACAGAAACTCTCCTTTTGTAATTTCATTTTTCCTTGGTTTTGAGAAAACATTTTTGTAGGATTGTGCAAACTGAGGAATGTCAGTTGACAATGTTATATGTTTTTAATAAAGGATTTTATACTTTGTACCTGAGCTGTTTTGATTACATGAAAATTTCTGATTTTCATTTTTAAATTTAATTTAATTTAAAAATAAAAAGCAATTCGTGCTATGGTGATGTTACATATTTATTTACTTCTTCCTACAGAATGTCAGCACCAAGAACGGCATTATGAAAGGTGTTGTTATTTTAAAGGCGAAAAATTGGAGAAAACCATTTAGTGAGATTTTATATGGTGAGCAATGTGAGAATAACAAACTAACCCCTTATTACCACCACCATACATGGACATAACTAGACAGCAAAGCTGACAAATATACAGACACAATAAAGGAAACAAGGCAGCAAAGCTGACAAATATTCAGACATTCAGATGCAGAAAAGAGTGCACCAAATAATGTTTTGGCCAATTTTGATGCACTATTACATAATAGTTAATAATTAAAACAGCATA